TGGCGCAGCAATCAAGTTGGATTGAAGGGAACTCGTTAGATACGAGCTGCAGAAAGAAATCAACACAGGTATGTTTTTTTGGCTGAAAGAGGAAGCTGTTGTATTCAGCTTTCCTGCCCCTTTTATATCATATATCCAATATCCAAAACGCAGGGTTCACAAAGCCCATTACATAAGAAATGACAAACATGACATAAGTGGACACAGCCACAGCAACGACACTGAGCAAAGAAGGAAACAAAGCAAAACGACAACACACATAGCAAATATAATAAAGACAAACGACACACAACCCCTGCATCAGTATACAGCCCCTGCATCAGTCTCCCCCACTTTGAGAAGAACTCGACTCTGAGTTCTCGTTAAGCACAGGTGCGTCGTCAGGTGGGAAGTACTCGTAAAGGTTAGCCACGTTGAAGGTGTTAGAAATCTGCAGGTCCGATGGAGGTCAACGACATAAGCATTATCGTTGATCTTGTGAAGGATTGGGAATGGCCCGAGCTTTCGCGCGTGGAGTTTGTGACATACACCAGGGGGTAAGCGAGCCTTTCGAAGATGAACCATGACAAGATCACCCACGTTGAACAATTTCTCGCGACGATGCTGGTCGGCTTGGGCTTTGTATTTGGCGTTAGCTGCTTCAAGTTTATGTGCGACATCACGATGAAGATGGACAACATGATCTGCAAGCTCCAAAGCAGATTTGTTCTTTGGGTGAGGAAGTGCCACAAGGTCAACAGATTGATTCGGGATTTTGGTGTAGACGATGGAGATGGAGAATGGAGAATGACTAGTAGAGCGTTTTGGTACACTGTTATAAGCGAATTCCACCTGAGGAAAAGCCAAATCCCAATTTTTCGGGTGATCGGAAACAACGCACCGTAACATGTTACCAAGAGTCCGGTTTACCACCTCTGTTTGGCCGTCCGTTTGAGGATGGTAGGCACTACTGAATTGCAAGGAAGTATTAAGGCGTTGCCATAGGACCTTCCAGAAATGACTTACAAACTTGACATCGCGATCGGAAGTGTTGGTGCTTGGGATGCCATGTAGGCGAACGACCTCGCGAAAGAACAACTTGGCGACATAGCTTGCATCGACAGCTTTCTTGCAAGGGAGAAAATGGGCCATTTTCGAGAAACGGTCAACCACAACAAAGATTGAGTCGATATGGCGAGGAGTCTTTGGAAGACCCAAGACGAAGTCCATCGAAAGATCTTCCCAAATATTAGCTGGAATGGGCAGCGAGGTATACAATCCTGTATTTTGGGATGTTCCTTTGGCACGTTGACACACCCCACAGCGCTTCACAAAACTATCCACCTGCCTGCGCATGCGCGGCCAAAAGAATCGGTCCGAGATTATAGCCAAAGTCTTGTCCCGTCCTGGATGGGCCGCAAGACCATTAGCATGTAACTCTCGGATAATGTGTTCTCGGAGGGATGAGCGAGGAACGCAAAGTAGATTCCCTTTGAAGAGGTACCCCTGGTGTATGTGAAAATATGCCGCTGGAGTAGCAGAGGAGCACTGTTGCCAAATTGTAGCAAAGTCGTCATCATGATGGTACTATTCGGGAAAAGTGTCAAAACCAATGATCTCGTTGTGTAACACAGTGAGGAGGTGAGATCGGCGACTAAGAGCGTCAGCAACAGTATTTTGAAACCCTGCCTTATGGCGAAAGACAAAGGTAAATTTTTGTAGGTAAAGCACCCACCTCGCATGCATTCGACTAAGGTTCTTCTGGGAGTTGAGGAATTGAAGTGTGTGATGGTCACAGTGGAGGACAAACTCTTCAAACACAAGAAAATGCTCCCAATGTTGTAGTGCACGGATGATCGCGAAGAGTTCTTGCTCATAGGTGGTCCACTTTTGTCGAACCTCATGGAGCTTCTCGCTGAAAAATTCTAAAGGTCTGCCTTTTTGAACCAGAACTGCCCCAATACCGGTCATGCTAGCATCAGTCTCCACCTCGAATACCTTTTCGAAGTTAGGGAGGGCAAGAACCGGGGCTTGAGTCAAAAGCTGTTTGCTGACCGCAAAACTTTCATCTTGAGCTGATGTCCACCGAAATTGACCCTTCTTAAGGCAATCGGTAAGTGGGGCAACTATGGAACTGAAGTTCCGAATGAATCTACGATAAAAGGTTGCAAGGCCGTGAAAGCTACGGAGCTCATGTACGTTCTTAGGGGTGGGCCAGTCTTGGATGGCTTGGACTTTTGCACTGTCAACATGAATCCCTTCAGCCCCTATGAGGAATCCCGAGAACAAGAGTCGCTCCATGAGAAACTCGCACTTCTTGATGTTAAGATAAAGCTTGTGTGTCCTTAGCACGGTGAAAACTTGTTGGCGGTGGTCTAGATGTTCGGGCTTAGACCTGCTAAAGATCAAGATATCATCAAAATACACAACAGCGAACTTACCAATAAAGGGTTGGAGTAACTCGTTCATGAGTCGCATGAAGGTGCTGGGTGCATTGCTAAGGCCGAATGGCATGACGAGCCACTCATATAACCCCTCCCGCGTCTTGAAGACGGTCTTCCATTCATTGCCAGGGCGAATTCAGATTTGATAATATCCGGATTTGAGGTTGAGCTTGGAAAAGACCGTGGAGCCATCGAGCTTATCGAGCATATCTTTAAGGCGAGGGATATGGAATCGATACTTGATGGTGATCTTATTTATTGCCCAGCTGTCAACACACATTCGCCATGTCCCATCCTTCTTCAGAACAAGGAGGGGCGGGACGGCACAAGGACTAAGGCTAGTCCGCACAAGCTGTTTTTGTAACAAGTCATGAACGATACCTTGCAAGATTTCATGCTCGTGGGGGCTCATCCGATAATGCGGAAAGTTTGGAAGACTTGCACCGGGTTGCAAATCAATGTGATGTTGGACATCCCGCATCAGTGATAGCTCGTGAGGGAGGTCAACTGGGACGACATCGGCAAAGTTGGTAAGCAGGTACTCAATCTAGAGTAGGGGTGGCCTCTACATTCTCCTTCAACAAGAGGGCAAGGAAAAATTAACTTTCCTTGGCAACCTGTTGAAACTGTGAGGCACTCACAGTGAGTAACACGTCCTTAGGGGGACCAACAGATGGAAAAGTCGGACAAGTAAGGACCAAGGGTAAGAGCGCTATTTTTTGCCCTTTCCATGGAAGAACGTACGTGTTCTCGCAACCTTTGTGTTGCACATCTCGATCGAATTGCCAAGGGCGGCAAAGAAGAACGTGGCATGCATCCATGTCGAGGACGTCACACATCACCTCATCTTGATAGCTATTTCCATTGGATAGCGGC